AACTAAGGAAAAATGAATGCTATTTCTATTATTAAATTAAATTACTTATAGTTATAGAACTCGCATCCCGACATTTTGTTATTCTCCATCTACATAATTGTATGACACGATGCATTTTTGCTTAGGTGCTAAGAAACAATGAGAATTTTCTTACGTCCATCTACTTTTTTAAACTCAACGCACATAATGTATTTAAACGGCTACATTAAATATATATAATAGTTAGAATACATGTGTTTTAAAAATACACTCAAATCATTATTACTACTTTTAAAAGTGAAATATATGTTTTTTTCGCATAATAAGTGTAAAACAACACTGTTATTTATGTAAATACAAACATTTAGATGTGGGATGTTGCGTGCTAAATATGTAGGTTTCCTTTAAACATAAAACTCAAAATATCACCTCAACATCAAGTGTAATATTGGGGTGATATTGTATCTCAAAATCACGTCAATCTTATGCCAATACCACTGATATCACCTCATTGCACTTCAATATTATCTTAATATCACTACAATATCACCGCCGTGCATATCTAATTTATACCTATCACATCCTCCCATAATATTCTTCTGATCCACACTGTAATCTGCATTTATCACATCCTCGGGTAATATTTTTCGTGTAGTGACACACACGTGTATATCGTGTCGAACTAAACACGATTTCTTTGGTAAAATCATGAATCCTCGAGAGAAAACCAGAGAACCACCCCCCCTGGGCTTATTTTCTTCCTTCGCGTTCCGTTCCTCACATCTGAAATCCAAACCCTTGCGCTAAACCTAGCCTCTCTTCGATCAAAACCAGAGGAGGAAGATGAGTTGGATGAAGCCCCCGTACTGGCAGCGCGGCGATGTTGAGGAGGGCAACGTAACAAGGCCGCTTTACCCAATGATGCTGGAGAGGCCGGAACTGCGGTGGGCGTTTGTGCGAAAAATCTACACTATCGTTTCCATCCAGTTGCTTCTCACCATCGCAGTATCGGCCCTCGTTGTTTCCGTCAAGCCCATCTCCCATTTCTTTGTCGCTTCAAGCGCTGGAGTCGGCCTGTACATTTTACTGATAATTTCGCCTTTCATTTGTATGTCCTTCTACATCCCTTTCTGGTTGTGAAACTTATTATTATTTTTGTTTTTCAGCCGTTTTTTTGGTTATTTGGATTCTGATATTTATTTTCGCTGATCACATTCTTGGTCGATTAACTTCGCCGCGGTTTTCCGGCGCTTTTAAATGTTTTCCCTTCGTTGATTTGTTGGAATTTACTAGGCTTTGTTATCTTCTGGTTATAGACTATAACATTCTTTTGAGGTGATAAATTTTACTATATGAGAGCCCTTAAAAGTGATTCTTTTTTTATGTTTTTCATCTGTTATGGGTCTGTTAGGGATCTTCCGACTGTCTGCTGGATCTTTTTGATAGGGAATTCAAGTTTTGTTTCTGTTTTTAAACTTTCATTTTCATTTTAATGTTTAATTGCCATATAAAATTCAGTTCTTTTTATTGGATTGAGGATTTAAGATAACCTTTTGTTTTGTTAAATTTTCAGTGATGTGCCCTCTGTACAACTACTACCAGCGCCATCCAATAAACCTTATTTTACTGGGTCTGTTCACTGTATGCATCAGCTTTGCCGTGGGATTAACTTGTGCCTTTACAAGTGGTAAGCTCCTCAAATTTTCTCTTAGAGCAGTAGAATCTAAGGTGTTTGATGTATTAATAAATGGAAACTAATCAATTCAAAAGTTTAATTTGATTGATAAAGAGCATTATTGAATGTGGGCTTAAAATATTCAGGCCCTGATCTTCCTTATAATGATGATGAGAGAATTTTACATTTAGGTTTCGGGTCCAATCTTTAGAAAGCAAATGCTAAACTAGATAAGATACTACTCAAAGATTTCACCCTTATTTTACAAGGAATTTAGGATTTGAGGTTTGAAATTTTCGGTATGCACAAACTCTTATTGCTAATTATCCCTCTTGATAATGGGAGAAGATTTTCAATTAAGACTAGTCATTACAACGTTGATTACTCAGCATGCAATATTAATAAATTTAGGATTTAAAGTTGTAGACATTACCGTCATGACCTAAGAACAGATGGTGGGGGGAATGGTGATAAATCCGATTAAGATCACATAATTTCATTGTTCTTGTTTTTTATTAACATTGATCTACTTGGCAAAAAGACTTATTTCACTCAACTTGACAGAAGGATTTTTGTTGGTAGTCATAAATTATTTTGTCTAAAGAGACAGTTGACTCGGCGTGGTTGTTTGTCTAAATTATAAATTTAAGTCGACTTTAGCTAACAATAGACTTTGTGCCATATCAAATATACTAGGATTTACAACCCAAAGAGATAGAATACCATTGAGGAATATGCATGCTATAATTGTAAACATAATATAGTGGAAACTTCTGGCTAAACCGCTCAGTCAGAGGGTTCAAGTCACAATTTTTTTTTTGTATGGAGTTGATTGGTTAATTCACGCTGAGTTAGGACATAGGTTATGCCTGTAATGGAGACTTCTGGGATGGTTCAAGTTGCAATCAATTTTTTTTTTTTTTTTTGCAGAGTTAATTAGCTAATTTATGCGGAGTTAGGACATAGGTTATGCCTATACTGGATTGATGTTGTAACATATTTGATATGATATTTGTTTTTTGTTAGCTGGGATTAATTTTATATTTATCGCCATTGATAAATTAGTCTAAAAGGTGCATGTTATTTGCTCATTAGCTTTAGGTTACAGGATTCCATTTAAGCATATTGAATTTTATAATATTCCTGAAATATTTTATAGTTTATTTTGATCTTAGTTGAAAGTGATTAGTATATGAAATTAATGCATTTTAGTAATAAAGAATTTTTCTGGTTGAGATTGACTTCCAACACGACTATCTCCGGAAATTTTATTTGACTGCTTAAACTTTACATCATAAAGGAACGGGTTTGTAGTGTTAATTTTATTCAAACATTTGTTACAATGCAAAATTTGGCATCTCATGCTTATATTTAGTGGATCAAACTTGCGAGTTAAACTCATTACACACTTAAGAGAATATAGTAATATTGAAAATATTATTTTTAGTTAAATTTTTCATAATAAATGTTTGGTACTTTCATGTAGATATTAGATAAGATATCCCTATTTATTGAGTAAGATTAAAATTCAATATCTACGTAGTTTTTTTAAAGACAATCTTTGTCTGCAAGAGGTTCAAACATGTTAGGTAGTACTGTTATGCCAACTTCGGTTCCTGTTCGGAGGATGATTAGACTTGCTAGGTGGAGACCAAGTATTTTCAACTCCGATTCTTTTGAGGAGGAGAATTTGGATTGACAAAGGTGGGAATTACAAACTTCTTTTATGCAAAAGGCGGTCTACTCAAGAGCATGCTTAATAAATTTTGATTTAATCTTGAAAAGAAGAGATTTTGCAAAGTTTAAGATGGTGTATGCTTCTTGATGCTGATCATATTTTAATTTAAACTTATATTAAACCCATGCAAATCATGCAACTTTCTCGGACCATGTTGTTACGCCCATGCACGAGCTGGTCGGTCTGGCTGGAAGCTTTATAACTGGCCTCAGGCGAGTCGGTTTGGGCGACGGGAAGAAGCGGAGCAGACATGGGAAGAAGCAGAGCTGACATGGGAAGAAGTGGAGCAGACAGGGAGAGCCGCATTAGAAGGAAATGGATGGGTGGGGTCTACTAGGGCCATAATCACCTATGCAAGAAGGAGAAA